CACTGTATCAAATTCCAGTATTTACAGATGCAACAGTGCCAATACTTCCACTGAATCCCAACTTTATTAAGATAAACTGTATATAACCCCACATTAACAACAGTCACAGAGCAACATGGCTGCCACATGAAATATCTCTAATGTCTCTCCCCTTTGTACCGCTCTGAGCAGAAATGGCTACATTGTGTTTCTGTACAGCCAAAACAGAACATGAGCGATATTTAAAGTAAAACAGAAAAAACAGATGAGACTAAAGAAAGACTCTATTGGTATAGTTTATCAATAGTTTGCCAACCAGGGTCAAGCAACTCACAAATAAGAGGATTTTACATTACAAAAGTCAGCCAACGTTTTAAAACTGCTACTTCTTTAATTTATTTAAGACACTGATCGTGTTTAGGTTTCAGTCTCAACCATCTGTTTGATTTTGGGCCAATCCCAGTCCATCCATGCATAAACGTGTCTGCTGACAGGAGGAGGGCAGTGTAGCTTCAGCCGCAAGTAGCGGGGCACTGAGCAGAAGCTGGATTCGCTCATGTCACTGTTTTATCACGAAGGCCAGCACGGAACCAACATGTCTCATGTTCGTCAGTGTTTAAATGAATTTTGCACTACAGGTGAGTCCAGAGGAAAAGAGAAAAGAAATCCAGCTTACCGTCTCGATTTGACTACATATTCACAAGAGGTCACTGTGTCAAAAGGCTGAGAAAATACCACACACTCACACACATTATCTTTAAATTCAACAAATGTAGGGTTTTCTCAGAGCACGTCACTGTTAAACCACAGACAGACAAGGCGCTGGAGGTGTCAGGCACATTGTAATTTCAAACTCAGTGTAAGAAACCTTCGAGGACGACCAGCACTCCTGACAACAATGTCACAATATTAGCTTTGGTTGGCGCCTGTGTAGTTTGCAGCTAAGAAACAACAATTCTCGTTAAAGGATCGGTTCACCCAAATTACAACCCAGATTTCTCACTTGCCTCCAGTGATATTTGGCCACAAAACCTTTTAGTAGTTTCACTGATCAGATCCAGAGGGCTGCCTGGTGAATGAGCAAGAAGCCTACCACAGATACTTTGGGTAGAGATATGGCTTTATGGCTTGGGCAGTAGATGTTTGGGCTTAAGTGCCATGTTCCAATATTTATGTAGAAAGTCCTCTATTTATAATTTGACAGTGACATTTCAGTGACAAAGTCCTACATTTTTATAATTAATCTTTTCTTGTTCAAGTTTAGCAGAGATGTTGTGGATGATTGGTTGCCATCATCTTAGAAGAGCAGCAAGATGACAACACAGGAAGCAGAAAATGGAAGAATCTTGTCTGTTTTTGCTTTTTTCCATCACAATTCTGTTGAAACTTCACATTACTCCCAGAGACAAGCCTCGCCCTGTTCTCCCACACACCCTTCTCTAAAAGTATGCACTTGTACAGTGCTGCGCCAAGTGCCCATTTTTGCACTTTTCTTCTTACAAAGTGAACTTCATATATACAGTACATAACCACAGGCGGTTAGGGTATGACATTCGCTTTCCATATTATTCTATGCCCTTTAGAAACAGGGGGATGTGCAGCTGGAGCTATCAGACTCTACTATAACAAAAATTAGCAGAGAAAAGCCTGGGTTCACTTCATTTGGAGCAAGTAGACGCGCACAAGTGCATACTTTAAGGTGTGGGTATGGTTAGATATTTGGATGGAGGCTTTAAGAGAAAGCAGCATGCCAGCAGCCAGCTCAGCAGCTCAGAGTCCCCGTTTCCCTTTTAGATGTCTGGGATCAGTCTGGGAGTGAAGAGACAGACAGGAGAGGGGCACCCGCTAACTAGCAGAGCAAGCTAGCTTAGTTAGCTGCCCAGGCCTCAAGGTCTGCCATGTCGTCTTCGTCTTCTTCCACCTTCTTCTTGGCTAAAAAAAAAGGGGTAAACAGAAAGAAACCATGAAATTATATTCTCTTAGGATTTTAGCGATGGTGGGTGGATGGTACGCTGCTAAATGCCGTTTGTGCGCAAAATTAATTCTATTTAAATGTCATGCAATACCTGGTTTAGATGGTAGCGATGTAGATGGTACGCTGGGTAGAGGTACATCCTCCGTTCCTTCGACTTCAAGAAGGTTTTTATCCAGCTCTTCCTGTTCCATGTCCTCCAGCTCAGCCATAAGCTCATCCTGAACGCAAACACACCAGGACCAGTAAACAATCGAGAAAATCTGGTCTGTATGAACAAATCACAGACTACTGATCATATTGAACTAAAGGTTGAAGTAGAATTTGTTTGCTCAACCAAGCTAAAAAGAGAATTGAATAAAACAAACTGTAACCATGATTG